GCATCCCCAGTGTAAATGAAATCAACACATTTTTTAACACAAACTTCATCAAATTCCTTTATTTCAACGACACCAGATTTTGTTTCAACGTTTTCATGAGATAACATTGCTTTAAAATAATCGGAACTTGCCGACACAATATTCTTATGAACAGGAAGTTCCTCAGATCCAGCTTTGATCATGAAATCACAATAACGTCCAGTTTTACGATATTCATTCAATTGTTGTAAAATTTCAAAAGCATGTTCTTTAGAATCTGTATTGATTTTTTCTTCCATTTCTTAGATGATTTTGTTTGATTTTATAAAGAAATGCTTATAAGCTTATAAATACAGTTATATGATTATAGCCTACCAATATTGATAAAGTACCTTAAATTATAGAAAAACTATATTTAAAAGAGTTATATAGTTCATAGTTCAACACAAACAAACCTTGCTGTCTTGCTTCATAAAACAATGACTACAATAAAAAATAAAATGAAACTATACCCAGGGAACGAAAGGCAATGCTGCAATGCCTGATCAAATTAGTACACATCACAATATCGAAGCCACCGAAGGTATGTCTGTATGTAAAGTTTCAAGTCAAATATTGACTGCTTGAACTAAAGCTCTTCTTTTTTTTTTTTTTTTTTTTTTTTAAATCATTAAAAAACAATTAGATTAATTTCAATATCAAGTTCATTTGAATTCAATGGTGGTCCATTCATGATTCCAAATATGCATCGTGATGTCGTTGCATCAGTTAGTTCATGTTCCATATTCCATTGTATTACGGTAATCATGAATAAGTCCAGCAATTATATGATCTAAAGCTCTTCGGACTAACGGATGGCATAATCACAATTACTGAAGTAATTTTCAAATATTTTTATAAACACAACTAAAAACTGACAAATAACACTGCAACATGAAAAACTAAGTTTACAACCCTGCTTGAATATCCATCTGAGTATAGGCATTGTTACACTATTTTAGCCCATTTTAATAACAGAAACTAATAAAAAATGCCAAAATATCAAACAGAAATCCAGATGCCAAATGTCTGAACGTGCTTCAAAAAAAAAAATTTGCTAAATTTGGCGATAGAAAACCCAACATGATAGCCATGTGTGATACCGGCATGTTTTTTTTTTATAATAATTTATTTTTAACCCAATTGATCAAATTAAATTTTGATTAGCGGTAGTTCCCATCCAAAATCGATTAGATCCCATTCTCAGAAAATGAATATTTGCATAAAAATAATCAACTGGTATCGTATGGCCGTACTTATCTCTCTGATAAATGGAAATTTGCTGACACGAGGCCTAATAAAACTGTAATAAGAATTTCGCAAAGAGGAAGTTTTTTCATTTTTTGTATTATGCCATTATATCAAATCGTTCATTTCGAATCATGTTCTATGTTGTGATTTGTAGAATACCATTTAAAGATTAGATTTATTTTAGTTTATGGATTGGCATGTAAACAAAACATTTTAAAATTAATATACAATACTACTCTACTCATATATGTACCCAAATGACACTTGAACAGTGCATGTAAATATCTACACCTGAACATTTCTTCGCATATCAGAGTTTTGCACTATTATATTTGTCTAATTTTACAGAATAACAGACTTATGAATCAGATCATCCATGTGTTCAAAGAGAAGCCATTCTTCCCTTTGGTACTGGTACTGGTCATCTGGTTAAAGTCCCAATCAATTTGCACTTGAATATTATTCTCATGCTACTTTTGGATATACAAATTTTATCATATTTCCCAGAATTTCTGAATGTCCAAACGGCCTATTTACATATTGCAGTTATCAATTTTGACTGGCAGTTGGTACCATTTGGTATGGATTAAATGATTCCAGCTCACACCATTTCCAACAATCCCTGGCCCATTCACACGTAAAAAATAAATGAAAACTTGTCTCATCAATGCCATAATTACATAAAACACATGTCCCTGGTTCATTCTCAAGCCAATATTTCATTTTATCAGCAGTGGGTAACCCATTATGCAATAGCTTCCAATTGAATTCTTTACATTTGTTTGATACTGGACTTTTTCTAAATTTTTCCCAATTAAAGCCACCATTAAATCTCTCAAATATTTCCCACAACACAACAACTCACGGCCGGCCTGCAGTCCATGAAACGGGGAATACCCCAACTATCCGGTGGTGGCTTGTGGATACAACCTAGTGTGATACCGATTGCTCGCCAATGATAATTTCCCTATCTCTTGATCCTAATTGGACATGAAGTGTACATATGGATCGTTTTGTTATTATGTTGTTGTTTTTGTTGTGAAAAATTATTATTCCTCATTACCTACTGGAAGAATCGCTTTGAAATTTTCAGTGGAGAAAGATTGTATTTTTCGCTAAAAGTCTATGACTTTCATTTATTTCAAAAATGTCTGCTGGCTCTTTAGTATTTAGTTTTTGTGCGCGATGACATCATCAAAATTAAAAACTACTCCACTTTTTAAACTTTCTCACAATCCCATAATCTACTGGTGTTCTAGGTATGAAAAAATTTAGGTTTAAGTCATTGATCTATTTTGAATCTAACTCAAGGACATTTGAAATACAGCTGTTTCAAGCAAATATCAAAATGAGTTTATTAAACTGCCAACTCCACAGCCTGATATAAATTCCACTTTTTGCCAAACAATAATGACATGTGTTGTCTGTGTAGATCTTTATCAAAAATATGCATCAAATCATCCTCAACAATCTTTTGGGAAATTGCCGAGTGATAAATCAAGCATGTTATGAAGACAAGCAGGAACTTCGCGACCATCAGAAAATATTTAATTTCTTTCTCAGCTGATCTAATTATGATATTAATATTGCAAATTAAAGCTGTGAAAAATTGGATAAATAATACCAGTAAGAATTTGTCAGAAGATTAACTACGAGCATCAAAATGAAAATTTATATTTCCTTCGAGTACCTTATATAGCAGTGGTTCTTAAACTTTTTTGAGCGCGACCCAAATTTGAGTTTCACGAATACTCGCGACCCGATCCTAAATAACGCAAAATGTGTTTTTAATGTTAGTACCGTTTGACTCAAATACAGACAACTATTTATTAGAAACAGTCCATTGACTCAGTGAGATTGATGCAACTGAAATTTTCTTTTCAATATATATTCAATACACAGCTCAATTTTACCGAGCGCAACACGCAAGTTGTCACGGGAATCGATGCGATTGCGAGCTTAGTTTCAATAACCGTCAGTGCCAAAAATCCTCGCTCGAACAAGTAAGTGCCTTGTCGCGAATTGTAGCAGAAACCTCGTCCGCTGTCCGTCGCAAACACGACATCCTAGCTGGCTTTTGATATCTCTCGCAATATACAACATTTTACTCATCAAATGTGCACACACTGCTTCGTTCGCGGTAAATGGTGATTCGAGATGAAGTCACATTTTCTCTAGATATTGAATAATTTAATGTTGAGATGCGAGCTTTTTCATTGCGTCGTCTATTACAATTTACATTACCAAAAAGACACCCGTTTTTAGTTATTTTAATCCACTAAGGGTGGAGATCAAAAACCTCACTTGTATTAAGACTAATCTCGGGTTAGTTAAACTCGGTTTAACTTCGATAGTTAACCGGAGATCAAAAACCTGGTTTAGCGGTTACTTAACTAATCCTGGTTTAAGTCCGACGCCACGAGGCATTTCTTCAAAACGTCGTGGCATGTTGCTCTTTGACCCCGTATTCCCATGGCGATGACAACGCGAACCCAATTTTGTTGTAATTTGCTGTCTTTGCAAAGTCGGTTTTTGATGTATTTCGTTGATTTTGCCGAAGCAAAACAAGCTGGGCGGTAGAACTACGAAGAGCTGACGCGCGTTACACGAAATATCGAAATAATAACACTTTATCATAAATAGAATTCTTCCCACTACTGGTACAGTCTACAACTACAACAGGGTCGGCTAACCTTTTTGGTCTAAGGGCCACATGTAATTCATTAATAATTGCGCGGGCCAATTGACATGGTAGTTATGATCTAGTTTTGCTACACTACCACAGGTTAATAATAAAAAAATACCCTCACATCAATTTTTCACAATTATTAGAACAATAAAACTGTTGTTTTCCAACCATTGACGGGTCGCCATCAGTGGTTATTCCCGAAAGTTTAGCCAAAGACAAGATCACAGCTGTCGAAAAATCAATGCCTCTAGTCAAACCCTTAACAGGGGCAATGGCTGCGGTCTCCACGGTAATTTTATATCATCATTAACTACCCGCAAAAAGATAGCAAGTCACCAACTGAGCAGTGAACTTAATGTCAGCGCTTCCTCAAGCGCCAAGAAATACAATAAAAAATATCCCGCTTTTGCGATTAAAATTCTCGCAATAGAATTCCCAAGCTCTTCAACAAGACGAGTTATGGTCTGTCTTGACAAGCTATTTTTGCAAACACCTAGAAATGCTTCTACATATGGCGCCACGAGTTGGACGACCCTGGTCTACAACACCAATTGAATCTAATATTTTCTCCCTAAACCTCAGCGTAACAACAAACAGACTTCAATTATAGAACCCACATCCTACTTAGAGTGAAAACAGACGAAATGAACACACTTCAGCTGAAAACCTATCCTTGGCAAGTTCTGGGCCATAGGCTTCTACATATTTAACATTATATTATTTTGAAAATTTGTATTGCAAAAATAACTAATATTCATTTGTTCAAATGACTGCTAAAATGTACTGACATTCAAGAAATGGAAAAAGTATGGAATCAATTCGGAAGAGGTGCTAAATTTTATCCTGGCTCTACAGCTTTGAGACAGATGCACACAGACACAGGTGCAATCATAGTTGTTGCTTTCGTTGCTATTTGAAAGTTTTATTTATTTCTTCTGCGAAAGACTCGCCGAGTGACGAAAAATCGACATAACTACGTTTGCTTCAAATGTTTTAGCATGCAAGAATTATTTGTTTGTTAAGCTTAAGTTAACCGGGTTCCACATATTTGTGGGACACAAAGGCGGGTTCCACATATTTGTTGGACATGAAGTCGTAAAATAAAGCACTGCTGCAACCTTGACTTGACAACACTTTTACTATAATCCTATCCATAACAGTTGTTTGTCTTCATGACCTGAACAGTATAAATGAAAATACAGGGTTAAAGATAGTATATTGATGAAGTGCACTAGATATTGAAGAAGCAAATTCGACCTAGGCAATGACTAAAACCGAATAATTTGTATTCGAATTTGTACAGATTTTTTTGTATTCTGAAATGATATTTTTGAATTATATAAAATCCAATGTATATTTAATTATATGAATTTGGAGAAGTAAAACAGTAGAGTATTTTTAGTTTTCAGATATTAAATGAAGGCTCTTTTGTCTTCGATTGTGATTGCATGTCGAACAACTTTGCTCTACTCTAAAATCATGTGACACTAGTTTTGCCTGCATGTAACAAGAAATGACTAATGGGAATGATTTTGAAAAGTTTGTCACATCTCGGTTACTTGAACAGATCTGGGAGAATACCAATAAGAAATTTACCTTGATAAAAGTATCCTCACATTATACGAATAATACAGATTATACACACAAACTAAAAATAATTTTCATTTAACAGCTGATACTAAAGAGGCTCCTATTTTTACTGAAAATTGCGAACATAAATTTAGGACAGTTTACATACAAATAATATGACATTTAAATAGTGACAAACTCACAAATTTGCTCTTCCAATAGAGCTGATGAAATTGATCATCATCGTGGCACTCAGACAGTTTACTTGATTTGAAAAAGCTGTAGAAATAAATGAAAAATCAGAAAACAATGTTACATTGAAGAAATAGTTATGATAGCATGAACCTAGCATAGCATAGCATTCATGATATGTTATTGGCAATATATAGTTATCAATATACTCATTCCTGCATTCTAGCATTTGGTGAAATTCATGGGCATGGTACAACAATATTCTAGTTACATTTTATATAGCAAGAGTCAGAATCATTAATACCATAAATATCGTACATTTGTGCATACAGCATACGAATAACATGCAATATGATTTTACATTGGTTTATATCAAAATATCCAGCCAACCTTCTGCTATCTATTCGCTTCTTGCCTATTTTTTTGATCCAACTTCGGGAACTTGCAGACTTGTGAATTAGCCGATGACAAGATACATACACCGGGGCTCAGTGCAGAAGTGATACATGGATATCGTAGGTAAATCTCAGTTCTGCTCATACACAAAATATAACCAAAAGGAATCTTTCGGGCACTGGTAGATCTAAATATCTGAAAATATTTATCATTTTTGTTAAAACATTTTGAAGTTTATATTACTGTATTAGGACTAGGAGTATCTGTTCGACGGTACCCCTGCGCAACTGCTTACCAACGAAACTATACTAAAATACTGGGCCCTATGTCTGTTTATGACAAGAACCCATATAGCAATAGACTACTGGTACAACTGTAGTCTGCAATCTACAGATCTAAGCTAAAATAAATCTTCACAAAAACTGCTAATAAATTCAAAAAAACGCAAATACAGAAATATATCAATACGCCAGGTAGGTATGTATTTACTTTACCGGTACTAGATTTATTATAGCCCAATTCTACGTTGTAAATAATTTTGTTCGGGCGTAGTACGTTAGGTACCGTACCGGACAAGCACAGGTACCACCGCAAATGCTACATATCGCAGCCTCGTGGTACAGGTACCGTAAAAGCGCCTAACTTCGGACAGTTCCTAACTTCGGACAAAATTTTTGAACGGCCATATCTTGGCTAAAACGCGCCGTATATTGCTAGTTTTAATTATTATAGGTTGCGCTGTTATATCTACATCTGTTCTCATCTTTTTTAATGTTGCATAATTAATTTTTTGGTAAAAAAACGGAAATTTTGCCGAAAATTGACTGTCCGGCATTCAACGGCGCAGAGCGTCGCTCCTACTGAAGCTATCATCGTCAAAATACCATCATTCGGTAGAGGGCGACAACAATGTATATAATTTATTTGAGTGATCGCAAGATGTCGTACGAGATTTAAATAAAACCTAAAATTCTGAATTATAAATTCCGTAAGAATATTAAGATTTCACGCAGCGTCAAAAATTACGTCAACCTCACGTAGATTATTTTTCGCTCACTTCCGACACGACGTCACACTGCGTCGCGGAAATGAATTTTGACGCCAGACACAATGGAGCCAATATGACAATTTCCGTTAAGATAAAGACGGCGTTCCAATGTAATATTTTTGTATTTTGTTCGGTCATGTATGAATATATGCCAAAATTACATTAATGAAAATACATGTCACACTTAATCGATGAAGTTAAAAATCGAATATATAAAACTATGGAAAGTCCAACGTCCATATGGCACAGTGCACTGACTTAACCATTATTTTATGATTAGTAGTCGAAATGACAGTTATTGAATACGGCCTGGGTGAATTTTATTCACTCGAAATTAAAAATAAATTTAATCTCCAACAAATAAACGGGACCTACATATTTACAAGATTAAGTTGAATTTCAAATTAAACTTTACAATCGGATTTACCGTGTGTTTGATATAAATTATCATTTATAAAGATAACCGCGCAGAATAAAAAAAAGCTATCCGTCGAGAATATTAATACTTCAAAGACTTCGATAGAAGCCCGTTAAAATACTTCATTGTGGATTGAAACGGTTTGCATCAGATATATTTACGTATGCATTTCCTGATTAAAATGACTAACGTGTTATTATACTCATCTGAAGTATCGAAAATAACGAACGAAAGATGTAAACATAGGACGACGGAAGTTTCAAATAATGCATTTTCGTCGTGACGTCAATGTTACGTTACGACGACGATCGAGCGTCTTATCTTCACGCAACGACGTGATTACGCCATCCGCATCGGAAGCCTCTTTCTCTCTGTGCGTCGCGGTTACGCAGTGAAGAAAATGACTGTCCGAAGTTAGGGCAGTGAAGGATAACGGTCAGATGGCAAGAAATATCGATTATTTCAATAGTAAAAATAGTCCAATTGAACCGAAATTTGCAGGGAATGTAAATTACCGCATGAATGTTTTACCGAGCAATTTTGGCACCGTTTGGACAATAAATGGCCAAGTTATTGACGAAAATATAGTAATTTTGTCCGAAGTTAGGCGCTTTTACGGTATACAATTATTTATTCGTCGTGACGCTTGTACAGAGCTCCCTGCTACTCCATTTGCCGCCCCAGAATACAATATAGATTGTACGGTAAGCGATAACATCCAACGCGACAAGCGCCGCAATCCAAATGCACTCGACAAACCGAGTTAAACCACCTCCAGACCAGGTTTAAAAAATCGCCGATTTTGAGTCGAGATTTACGTCACAGAAAGTTAAACCACCTTTTTGATCCGGACTTAAACCGTCGATCCAAAGTTAAACTCTGATTCGAGGTTAAACTACCTTTTTGATCTCCACCCTCTGAGGCGCAGGTCTCACCACTTCATGGCGGCTCCTGCCACGAACGAACTTCGCCATCCTTTGGCCTTGTTTTTATGGCGGTAGCATCGGTACCAGATTTTAGTTTATCGTGTGGAATTATAGCTACTTAAACCTGAAACCTAACACCAAATCCATAAAAAACAGTATCCTTAGAGAAAATGTTCCAACTTACCCAAAGTTGGTTTGTGGCAGCTGAAAATTCAGCCGCCATGGTTCGGAAATCCCGCAATGGATAGGATAGGATAGGATTCACATATTTATCCCGGGGGAGAGGAAAATCGTTAAGACGGCTTAACCATATGGCGAACCACGGCCTCTAGTCTGGTTACCATTCCATGTCGGGTTTGGGATTAGTTTCGGAAGTATGGACTTGATGGTGGAGGAAGCTGTGACCAACCAGCGGTTACGTGAACCTTTCGAACATGCTTATATAGTACATTTTGTTTTACATATTACAGGGACAACATACAGAGAGCATTGCCAGTTAAGGACCGATCAAGGTATGTAATGAGAGGATAATAGTATTACATATGTGAATTGAATATCTATGCTTGTATTTGCCAATATAAATTCAACCAAATAGTATTAGCATCTCCATCAGTGCTGAAAATCCCTTTGAGAATCTTATCTCGGAGCAGTGGTCCTCAAACTTTTGAAGCCGCGCCCCTTTTAAGACATTAAGCCCAACCTCAAAAATATCTAGCTAACAATAAGGGTTCTAGAATGTACGAACCAACAGCATAAACTTGAACTCAAACATGCTCCACGCTAGGAGTAATAAAGATACAAGCATGGCAGCCCTCTGCACTCTCTAAACCAAACATGGGCAATGTAAGGCCCGTGGGCCAAATCTGGCCCGTTGGGTAATTTAATCTGACCCGACTGAAGCTGCCTCAACGAAACCGAAAATGAATTTTGATGTTTTATCTAAAAATAGCCCATGGAATTTGTTAAGATTGTGGTTCAATTTAGTGTTGGCACGAGGTATCTTGTTAATCACTTTTTCTTTGTAACACTGTAAATATTATTTATAAAATGTTACTTTTTACGTCACACTTACATGATCCGACACTATAGGTGGGCAAAATTTTTGACCCTCGCTTCAAAAACCTTGCCCACCCCTGCTCTAAACGATAAGAAAATATATTTATCCGAAATAAGGCGCGCAAGATCAATTCTAACAAATATTTTTAATTAGCCTCATGCCCCCTCAAAACATTGTCTACACCCCCCTTGCGGAATCAAAAATTCCTGTGCCTCGACCGCTAAAACAGTCCCATGGTTCCCCACTTGTTATTATAGCTGACTTTTTCTGAGGATAATGATTTTCTGAAAGTCTAACTCTAGTTCTATGAATACAAGCTTGTATTTTGCAATTAATATTTCCTTGTCAATGTAAGCTTCACTCACACATTCGCGACTGCGGAAACTTGGCTTGAGACTCCTACTCTGAAAATTTGTTGCGATAATACTGCAATATTGTGTTATGGAATAGCTTCTAAAACAATTTAACACAGAAATTTCATATTTTTCAGCTCTGGATGATCTGGTAATGAACTCCGATTAATTGTAGTACATGTATATATATTTGTAAAATAAAGACATTTTGTTATCTTTTTGTTTTTTTTTATTAAATAATTAATGTTAGATTAGTGGTAAATTTCGTGGCATTTGTAGTAAAGATCCATACCCTGTCTGTATTACAACACATCACTTACCTTGGACTGGTCATATGCCACGATTGTGTTACAACGTATCGCCTACGTTGGCGCGGCCATATGTCATGATTGTGTTACAACGTATCACCTAGGTTGGCCCGGTCATGTTGCAAGATTGTTTACAACGTATCGCCTACGTTCGCCCGACCGTTTGCCTCGGTTGCATTACAGCGAAGGGACCGACGTTGGTTTCTAGGAACATGGTTGTTCGCCATTATTGGGCCGGTGGTTCAAACAACGTTCGGCCTTAGTTGTGCCGACGAAGTTGTGCTATCTGGGATGTCGGGTTTGGGATTAGTTAGTTATTTGTTTGTTTTCGGAAGAATGTTTTACGATATTCATTTAATTAGGGTTACCATATTTTTGTGACTGCAGATCGGGACGCCACGAAAGGCAACACCCTTAGCTGTGATTTTATAACTTCCCAATTTCCGATTTTACTACATACGCAATATATATTATATAAACTACACTATTATAAACATATGCAAACATTAGTTGAAAAGCAGATCGGTAGATATGGCATTTTTGACACTTTTTTTTTATGTAAGGTCAGCAAACTATACTGGAAACTCAACATAAATTGTTTAGAAATCCATTCACAAGTTCACAACATATTCATGTGACTAAACAGTTTGAATACAGATTTTTCAAAGGGGGAGGGCTCATTGTTATAATGGATGTATTATGAGTAGCAAGATGACACAAAGGAATGGGTAATCGAACTCCTAATTTTCCCACAATGGAAGAGATAATCTAAGAAACTTCAAAATTTAAAATTAAAACTAGGTGACTTAAAACTAGGGGTGTGTTGTCTGAGTTTACTATGTGTCTATTAATAACGGATTCAAAGTGTTCACTTTAAATTCCCTGGAGCCAAAGTTTCAGAATTTTAAACCACATAATCAAAGTCCGAACTTCAGCCAAGAGCTCAGAAATCAAGTTAACATTCTCAACAAGCAATTACATATAGAACGCATAGTAAATCATTAAATATCAGGATTTGGTTCTACTGAAGTTGTGAGTCAAAAGTTCCATCACCCTAGAGTCTGGACGTTATATTTTCATTAACAAGGAGTCCGTATAGTTTTTTCTTGATTAATTAAAGAGTTTGAAGAAAGGTGTAAGGTGTAAATTTTTCCAGACTCCACACCACAGCTTTAGGTGATTGGTATTATAAGCAATTTACAAGTTTCTGCAAATGCAATAGTCTTATATATTTCATCAAATATCCAATTGATACACAGAGGGTAGGAAATGTATATCAAAGGAACATAACAATCTTTACTGAACGAAGCTCTGAAGAATATTATGATGACAAGTAGAAAAACAATGTAAATCATAAAATCAATGCATATACAAAACTGAACCTAAAAAATAACGAAAGAGCATATAACCTGAAGATGTAGAATATATTTCTGTAATGAGCAATGAACCTCAAGATTAGATGAGGCTTAGGGTGAAAACCGTGTTTCAGTGCAGGAAATTCGTCAGGTTGTTCAAATAATATTCTACAGACTTTTTCCCAAAATATCATTTTTCTCGCATACTTCTTCAATATCCTGTTGGTATTTCCCATTGAATTTTGATGAAAGTTTGTGAAAGAAACAAACCATTAAAGCATTTTTAAAACTACATATAGGACGAAGGTCAGGATCCACATATCGATGATAAATGAAGCACACTCGGTGTTAGCAAAACGATTTAATTTGCCGACGTTTCGAATTCCTATTCAAAAAAATTTCATCAGGGCACGATATGGCAAGCACAATATTGTATATATATATAAAAAAAAAAAAATTTTTTTTTATAACGGCATGATATATAAAAAACGCTCAAATGTGATAATAAACCTGTGGGAATAAGCACAAGTTCAAAAAATATGGCGACTATCTAAACCAGTGATTCCCGAAGTGGGCGATATCGCCTCCCGGTGGGCGAAAAAGCTGAAGGGGGCGATTTCCCGAAACCTGTTTTTGTTCGGCGGATCGTGCACTCGGAAACTGTACTCTGCGTGCGTTCTCGGGTTTGAATTTTGTGGGCAATAATCACACGCGAGGGGATTGCTGGACTCCTCCCCGCCATAAGATAGTTCGCGTAGCGCAGAAGTCGGCAACCCGTGGCCTGCAAAATAAAATAATCTGTCCCACGAGGCTTCACTGGATTATAGCGACAAAACGGCGGTCATGACAATGAATAATCTACGTTAGAGGAGTAGATTATATTTTTTACGTGACAGAATTTATCATGAGACACGTTTAGACTAAATTATATCATAACCTAACAATTTGGTGAAGAGCTAGGCTACGGTACTCGTTTATCAAGCCTACAATTTGATTATGATTAGACAAATGGCAACATGCAAAAATTTTGATGCTGAGTACAGGGTTCAATAGGGCAGAAAATATTCAAATAGGGCTCCTTGGGATGGAAAGCAGTGATGAAATAAAATTCATATTATTCGAGAAATGCATCCCTGCTTGATTTTTATAAAAAATGTATCTTAAGGAAATGTATCTGGGGGGGCAATGGTACAAAAAAGTTTGGAAACCACTGAATTCTGAACAACCTATACACAGGTGGAAACAAGGTAGTTTCTTTATCGTTCATAGAGTTTTTTTCTTTGATAATGTGATAAGATTCAAGAAATAGTCTTTTCCTGTTGTAGGTTTCATCCTCCAGTATTTTGTTATTCTCCCAGTCAATGCTGTGATCTGCAGAAAGGGCTTGTTTTGAGAAAGCAGACTTTTTCCATTTCTTCCGTTTTACATCTCGCTGGTGTTCTTTTCTACAGGTTTCAAGACTTTTTTGTCTCTCAATGTAGATAGCGCGGCGGTGTGGCTCAACGGGTTAAGCGTTAGGAATACGCTCGCCACTGCACCTCTAATTACTCTGCGTGGGTTCGCAGGTTCGAATCCCATGCAGGGATGGTTATGTGCGAGAGGATTGCTGGACTCCTCGCCGTCGTTGGGTGGTTCACGTAACCGCTGGTCGGTTACGGCTTCCTCCACCACCAAGTCCATGCTTCCGAAAACAAACAATATAACTAATCCCATACCTGACTTGGAATGGTAACGAGACGAGAGGCAGGGTTCGCCATATGGATAAGCCGTCTTATCGGCTTTCCTATCCTAGAGGGACAATCGGTCTTTGACTTGGGAAAGAAATTGGCCTATTGTATTTTGAAGTTCGGAGCTAACTTTAATTTTCACGTCAACACGAAATGATACCGGTAATAATTAAAAAAAAATAGTGATTTCGAAGGAATGAGCATTTAATATAAAAAAAAAACACTGGATAGGCTCATCATAAACAATTAATGCGAGTTAATGAGAGAGATATGATAACAACTCATACCATACCATAAAAAGTAATATGGGGTAATCCCCTGTAATCTGACATAACACAAAACCGAATAAAATATTGAAAAATGATAAATTTTCAAAAATTAAAGATTAGAAGGTTGACCATAACAAATGCAATATAAAAAAAAAACAATAAAATATCAACGCTACCAATATGAAATTAATTTTCACTTCACTTTCAAATAAAATAGGTAATAATTAACTATATCAATCGGAATATCAATATTGATATTGGCTATCTGTAGAGAGATTATTCAAGCTATATCTTCAAACATTCTGTAAATTCGTTCTTAAGCTAAATGTATTGAAGAAAAATATTTAAATAAAACTTTTTGTCAAAGGAATTATTCTATCTAAATATTACCTCGCAAATGATTAATTTACTGGTTTCCATGATTCTGCAAACAAATTCATTTTCAGAGTAAATCAGAAAATTGATAGGTATAATCAATGAGATTATGAGAGCCATATTTGTTGAAGTGTACGAGTAATTGATGTTATATAGATATTGCAACAGTTTCCAATGGATTTATATTTTTTCCTTGTAATGTTTCAATGATTTTCCATTCTTTTGTTTCAGGATCATATTCCTCTATATTTGCAGGATTTCCATTTCCACCAATGACAAAAACTTTCCCATCAATCACACAACTACTGAACTGTGCTCTTGCATTTTTCATTGGTTTCAACATCATCCAGGTTTTAGTTACAAATGAACGAAATTCAACACTATCAATAGTGTTACTATTAACATTATAACCTCCCATAACATATATTCCTTCCTCTGTTGCAGTTGCAGAAGCACCATATCTTGCTTCATTCAATGATCTATTATCCATTGACCAAGTTGATGTGACAGGATCATAAATCTCAACTTGGTTTGTTGCTCGAACTTGCTGATTCATTCCTGCAATACAAAACACCTTTCCATCAGCAGCCACCAAATATTCACAAGCTAGGATCAATGATTTATTTGTTAACCTGGTCCATCTATTATTTGATGGATCATATCTTTCCATAATGTTTGAGAAATTTCCATACTCAATACCATAAACAAAACCATCAAGTGCAACTACACATGCAGTCCGAAGATTTGTATTTGTCATTTGTTCCCACTTTGCATTAAATTTAGCATATTCAAGTCTATAAAACGATCCCTTTTTACAAATCACATAAATGTAAGATTCCATCACTACAGCAGAAAATAAATTTTCCATAATTGCTTGATCTATGGTTTGCATTGGTGTCCATGTTTTATCATCAACATCATGTGAATGCATTCTATGAGAAGTTTTGTCAAAAACAACAAGCTGTTCATTCTCTGTTAAATTGAAATCTTTTGATTTGACATTCCCAGTACTGTCTAAAATTGACAAAGTCAATGACTGGAGAGATTTTCCAGATTCAAGTATTAATGGTTCATTTTCAACAAGAAATCTTCTATATGACAAAGTCATTTTCGTCAATTGAAATTTCATCACCAAACTAAGAAAACATTCTTTTCTTTCATCAATATCATGTTTGGTCCGTGCTAACAACATCTTACATTTCCCTTCTTCCTTTGCTTTTGTTTCCTTCGATTCCATCAGAAATGAAATAAATTTTTCCTCAAGATCCATGAACTCATCAGACTGGGCAATTTCTTTTGATTGCATTTTTCCTCAAGTTGTTTACAGTTGTACCTATTCGCAATTTTTTTAGTTTGAAAAAATGATCTAGGATCAAGATCATCTTCCAGAAAAATGGCGATACTATCACAAAGTCTTTGCAGCTGCATCATGTGAGCGACACCCATGAGTGTTTCACGTTTTTCTTTGGCAACATAAGCATCCCCAGTGTAAATGAAATCAACGCATTTTCCAACACAAACTTCATCAAATTCCTTTATTTCAACGACACCAGATTTTGTTTCAACATTTTCATGAGATAACATTGCGTTAAAATAATCGGAACTCGCCGACACAATATTCTTATGAACAGGAAGTTCCTCAGATCCAGCTTTGATCATGAAATCACAATGACGTCCAGTGTTACGATATTCATTTAATTGTTGTAAAATTTCAACAGCATGTTCTTTAGAATCTGTATTGATTTTTTCTTCCATTTCTGAGATGACTTTATTTGATTTTATAAAGAACTGCTTATGATTATACCACTATTAATAATATTACCTTGTACAATAGAGAAATTATAATTGAAGGTGTTAGACTTTACAGTTCATCCCAAATAAACCTTGGTTCATAAAACAATGATTACAATAAAAAAAAAATGAAATTATAACGAAAGGCAATGCCGGATCAAATAAGTACACAATCGCACTTCTGAAGCTATGTTAAGAATGAAGTCAAATATTGTCTGCCCAATATGTATCAAATAAGGGTATTATGTTAATCATGTTAATAAGATGTAACAGAAAGGGAACATTTACAAATAACCATAAAAGATTTTAATTTATGCCAATATTTTAATACTCTATTTTGCTAATGTGAAAGTAGTGTCACATTTCAGTTGTTCATAACTATCCCACTGGAAGTGCTACTGCATGGAAATTATGAATAAAATTATATAAAACATAAATAGTTATGTATCAAAATATTACACAGGTATAAACCCCAGGCCATCTCAATCAAATTAACCATGAACTTCTATAATCTATATGCTTAGCTCAACAAATTATCTACTTAACTGATATAGGATACCTTGTAAAGACAATTTCAACAAATCACAGCATGGTTAAAAACCTCCCAAAAAGTATTGTATAGTGAAGTACCGGTAAGTATGAATTGGAAGATAAAGAATATAAGAGCTAATCCAAGTGACTCTACAGGATAATTCCAGAAAATTTTCACGCTGAGAGATCCAATATTCTTACATCTCCAGCAATATGTTTTGCATCACTGTTCAATCAGTTGTTTTATATGGTTTGAACGATTGTCGAGCTGGTACAGCAATATTTTCTGAGCAGTGACTGGAGGACCCGTTTATGTGTCACTCAAGTAACTCAATGTAACACTGTAGATCCATGACGATAATGTGCACATTGTATGTGACACTATGGGACATTTTTCCACTTTATAGTCTTCCGCTTCGGAACAGCGGCCTCTATCATCTATCAAAATTCTAACAATAAATCGTTAAATAGGCAAAGACATGTCCTACAGCACTGCAAACACCTAATCTTTATTAACTTTCAAGTCCAGTGCATATATTTGAAAAGAAATAACTGTACCAGACAATCAAACACTTTGTGTTACGAGTCATCACAAAAAATGTCAATCATATCAAAATTTCTACATTTCAGGCCCTCTTGTGTAAACCATCAAAAACCTGGGTGGAATTCCAACTTTTTCCATGAAATGAATGCAGTCCAATAAAATTCAAGTGTCTTTTGATATAAAAAATACAAAACAATTACGGTACTTTCATTGCACTTTATAAAATTGATGAAATTCAACATTTGTTTGGAATGGCCCCTTGGTAAGGTCACTAGCCTGAATATTATAATTCATAACAACAAATCTATTGAACAGTCATTTCATGAATATAAAGCATAGATAACAATTATCCCATTTAAAAATGCATATTAGGGAATTGATTATATTGAGAAAGCAGTGATTATAAAATTAAAAAAATACAGTAATTTTCACTAGAGGAAATGATTATTAAATACAATAAAGCCGTTTCTTATCAAATGCTGAAAATCTTGTTGTAAGAATTGTTGTATTGAACTAACATCAACTAGAATTTTTCAAAAACAATTAGGGCAGTGTGAATGAAAGGATTTCAAATTATGAAACCATAATTTATCAATAAAAATTGAAACACCATCATTAGGGCATGTCACAAAATTGAATGATAATAAAAAATGGAAAATGTCAAAAAATAATAAATTAAAAGCTTGATCATTACCAATTCGATATTATAATAATAAAATAGGGAAAATGATAAACTAGTTATAAGATTCGAATAACAACTTCTTTATAATATTGGGTAATATTTAAGCAGTCAAGGCAATCAAATTGTCAATCACATTCTAGATAGATGGATGTATGAAAAAATTTAATAAACTTCATTAAGCTACCGGTAATTACGGTGAAATACAACACTGGAACACAAGATGAAATGAAAAAATAGTTGATAGCGTTTAATTATTTGGTTGGAATTATGATGCACAAAAAGTTACCATGGGTTATCATTTTATGATAAAAATTAATTTGGGAAAAAACTAGATATGTTTACAGGGATTTTCAGTATAGCATATGAGAGACATATTTGCTCAGAAATAAGATCAATCAATGTTATATAGATATTACAACAGTTGCTCTTGGAAAAATATTTTTTCCTTGTATTGTTTCAATGATTTCCCATTCTTTTGTTTCAGGATCATATTCCTCTATATTTGCGGGATTTCCATTTCCACCAATGACATAAATTTTCCCATCAATCACACAACTGCTGAACTCTGCTCTCGCATTTTTCATTGGTTTCAACATCATCCAGGTTTTGGTTACAGATGAACGAAATTCAACAGTATTTATAGTATTCTTATTAACACTTTTACCTCCCATAATATATATTCCTTCCCCTGTTGCAGTTGCAGAAGCTTGACTTCTTGCTTCATCCAATGATCTATTATCCATTGACCATGTTGATGTGACAGGATCATAAATCTCAACTTGGTTTGTTGCTTGAAATTGCTGATTAGAATATCCTGCAATACAAAACACCTTTCCATCAGCAGCCACCAAAGATTCCCAAGCTAGAGCCAATGACTTGTTTGTTAGTCTGGTCCAACTATTATTTGATGGATCATATTTTTCCATAATGCTTGAGTAATTTCCATATTCAATACCATAAACGAATTCATCAAGTGCAACTGCACATGCATACTTAAGATTTATATTTGTCATTTGTTCCCACTTTGCATTTGATTCAGCATATTCAAGTCTATAAAACGCTCCCTTTTTACAAATCACATAAATGTAAGATTCCATCACTACAGCAGAATATAATGTATTCTGTATAATTGCTTGATCTATGGTTTGCATTGGTGTCCATGTTTTATCATCAACAACATAAGAATGAATTCTTTGAGAAGTTTGATCAAAAACAACAAGCTGTTTGTTCTCTGTTAAATTGACATCTTTTGAACTGGTATCCCCATGACTGTCTAAAATTGACAAAGTCAATGACTGAAGAGATTTTGCAGATTCAAACATCAATGGCTCATTTACAACAAGAAACCTCCTATATGACAAAGTCATTTTTGTCAACTGAAATTTCATCACCAAACTAAGAAAACATTCTTTTCTTTCATCAATATCATGTTTGGTCCATGCTAACAACATCTTACATTTCACTTCTTCTTTTGCTTTTGTTTCCTTTGATTCCATCAGAAATGAAATAAATTTTTCATCAAGATCCATAAACTCATCAGACTGGGCAATTTCTATAAAACGTTGCAATGCAAATTGATTGCATTTTTCCTCAAGTTGTTTACAGTTGTACCTATTTGCAATTTTTTTAGTTTGAAAAAACGACCTAGGATCAAGATCATCTTCCAGAAAAATTGCGATACTATCACAAAGTCTTTGCAGCTGCATCATGTGAGCGACACCCATGAGTGTTTCACGTTTTTCTTTGGCAACATAAGCATCCCCAGTGTAAATGAAATCAACACATTTTTTAACACAAACTTCATCAAATTCTATCATTTCAACGACACCAGATTTTGTTTCAACATTTTCATGAGATAACATTGCTTTAAAATAATCGGAACTTGCCGACACAACATTCTTATGAACAGGAAGTTCCTCAGATCCAGCTTTGATCAGGAAATCACAATGACGTCCAGTTTTACGATATTCGTTTAATTGTTGTAAAATTTCAACAGCATGTTCTTTAGAATCTGTATTAATTTTTTCTTCCATTTCTGAGATGACTTTGTTTGTTTTTATAAAGCACTGCTTATGATTATACCACTGTCCACTATTAATAATAATACCTGAAACAATAGAGAAATATAATTAAAAGGTCCATCACAAATAAACCCCAGGAGAGACAATGAAGAACTCAATAAGTTAACTGCTTCAAAAAACAAAGATCACAATAAAAAAATAACACTCTAACTAACAAGAAGGGATGCCTGAATGAAATGAGCTCAACAAAATCTAAACAATTGATTAAATGAAGCTAGTAAGTACTAGAAATGTTCCGATACCACTTTTGTAACCGATACCAATACCCACGAATAATGCAAGTACAGATACTATTTAATTATTATTTTAGGTGTGCGGGGTAGACTGGTTAAAACAAGCGGCTGATAGAATTATTCATAGTGCACATTATTTCAGCTTGAAAAAGGGATATTCCAGATAATAAATAAACTGATATTTGTAATCGAGGTGCATTGTGCATTGACATTCGTAAACTATGTGTTCAATTAGAAAACTCATAGGGTTTGGCTACAATAGAATGTAGAGTAAATATGTTTCTTCATACTATTAAACTGATTAATTAAGTTGCTTGCGCATACTTTTGTGCAAATATATTATGTCATATATTGTATTTCAGCCATTAGAAATTATTCAATTGATATATTTCTTCAAATTATCATGTCATATTAAAAGATCAATATAAAATATAATACATACCTAATAATATTATAAAATTTAGCAGCGAAAATAGCCAAATTAGTTTAGCCAGGTTGGCTGATAAATAGTTAATTAAAAGAAGGTCAAAAACCTGTTCCCATTTCTACTCACAAAAGTGGGGGCGGGCATGACTCAGAGTTAAGGAGGCAATTACCGCAAACACGATCTCTCCGCGCAAGAAATAATTTCAACATCATTATTCTAACTTAATTTTTAAACCATTCTGGATTAGATTATAAAGCTAAATATATCGGAAATAAATTAAATATAGATCATTTAATCCAGTGGTCGGCAACCACCGGGCCGCGGCCCATCACCGGTCCGCGGAAAGGTTACTACCGGTCCGCAGAAAGGTGACCTAAAAACAGACAAGACCCTTATAACATATATACAATATAATATCTACAAACCTTACGATTGAAAGCTGGTGTTCCGTGTTGTTGTCTTCAAATTCTTTTTTATATTTTGGAATATTTTATGACACAGTTTTCAAGAAGATTTTGTTTGTTGTGATAAATGTTTGCAGGAATTTCCGAAAGTTGAAGCAATGACTACACAGCTAAATGTAAACGGCAACGTATTAATTTGAATTTAATCATCGCTCAGACCCCCATTTTCAATCATGTTCAGGAACACTGACTCGTTTTCGTAATGTAAATTATAAAAGTTGCTAAAAACTGGGGAAAATTTGAAACAGTTTGCAAACCCGACTCGTAGAATACCCTTAAATAAGCAATAAATTCATTTAATGGTAGAAGTACAAGTAGGATTTGTGACGCCAGAAAGATGACCGTTGAAGGAGAACTACGTGTTTGTTTGCCTTTCCTAAATTCAGACCAAAATAAACGATGCGTGCTCATCTAAACAAGTTAATATATCATATTAAAATTGCATTGCTATTAACGGCTACGAACAGCCAGTTCAGTGTACTTTTGTTCTCCGAGGTAATGAATTCGTTACGTCTTCTTACAACTTGAGTCATTGGTCTTGTTGTAATTTTATTCCTACGCGAAACCTGACAGTGATTATTGCTTATTCGGATAGTTTTCATGAAATTGGAAATTTTCGTTTGTTGTTCCGTGAAAAATTCATGATATAAAAAGTGCTTCGCGGTTTGAAAATCACTGAAAATAGCGATATTTACCATGCTTCATACAATCTACGGATTGGAAACAATAGCGCAAATGCCGATCTCGCAATAAATATCATCACCTTCGTTTTTGTGTATATTGTCAACATAAATTTTCTAACGCGTTTGAATTTATTACATAGGCTTAGTTCGTTTATATAAAGGTGGACCGTCAAAATTTTGGCCATGCTTCACCGGTCCGTCACTTACAAAAGGTTGCCGACCACTGATTTAATCGATACTGCAAAAGGGGCCGATATAACCAATGCATCTCTAGTAGGTAGTAGGTACGGTACCTATTTTTTGGGAAGTAGAGATTGGTTGGCGCAGGTCTTGGTAAAAAGCATTCAACAGAAGTTTCTTGGGAACTTTGTCGTTAAGTTGTGGTCGATTAAACGCTTTTGAAGTAAACTCCAAGAAAATGGAGGTGCTGATGGCGATATTGTGGAGGTGAAGCAAAGTCACACCTGGAAAAAGACTAGCTTTCAATTTAAATTTTATCAACGCAAGCAATTTAGTTATCACAGACACAGCATAAAGGGATTGTAAACAGCAGAATTGCAGACTTTTTGCACTATTGCTGCATTAGTTATAAATTTAATTACTGTTGATGCAAGCCAAAATATGAGCATTCAAGCAAGATCACATTTTCATGTTGCTCGATGATATCTATCTTTTTTAACAGGAGCAGAAACTACTCGTTTTTGAATATTCTTACAATTTGATTCCAGAATCTACTGGTGTTCTGGGGCCTAAAAACTTTCACCCAACTATGAGTCACAAAACAATTTTGAGTCTTAACTCAATGAAATTTAAGAAATACAGATGATTCTGGCCGATACCAAATTAAGTTCAAACACCCAACTTCAAAGTCTGATATAAAGTTCACGTTTTGCCAAACAATGGCATTTTTTGTCCATGTACAGCTTCATCAGAAATACGCATCAAATCATCTTCAACAAACTTTTGGGAAATCGTCAAGTAGGGAACCAAGCATGTTGCAATGACAAATTGTAACTCTGCAATAATCAGAGACTATTTAATTTCTTTCTCAGCTGATCTGATTATGATATCAATATTACTGTAAAAATAACAATACTTCAAAAAATTAGCTGCAAGCAAAAAAGTGAAAACTATTTTCCTACAAATATCTTTTATATTTAACATAATAACAACAACAATTGGGCTAATATATTTTATTGAGTTTAAAGAAATATTCAAAATAAATATATTACGACAATGAAAATATTTATCAAAATCCTATTCCCTTTATAATAGGGAACTTATTTTCAATTACCAAATTAAAAAAATTTTTTTAATGAAAAATCAAAACGGTCAACAAATATTCAAGATTTGTCAGTTGCAGAAAAATTTATAAAAATGTCTCAAAATTACATGAAAAACGCCCTTGGACATCTCTTATAACATATTATACGGTACTTGTTATAGGGCTAATGTGAGTTTGAACAAAAGTTTTTCAAATATTATATTTCAAAATTGGTATGAAGCAAACAAATGTTATAGACTGGAACAAATTCTACAGTCATATTTTAAACACTCTATATTAAGTACAAAACTATACCTATTCAAGTTCAAAATCCATATGAACCCAAAAACACCATTTAAATATTTCAAAAATATAATTATCAGGAGTTAAATTATTGTTTGTCAACTTAACATATATCTTATCTCGTTATATAAATGATGATATGAAATAAGCCCATCCCAAAAAATGAATTGTCACCAGTGATCAGCAGTAAAGTTATTACAAAGACAAGATTGAATAAATAATAATCTGTTAAAAAAGTTTTTTCATCTTTGAAATTTTCACTTCGCAAAATTGGACATTGGATGGACAGAAACCAATTTAATAAAACAGGAGCAATGTAATAAAAGGCTTTATTGCCACTATCCTGAATATTACAATGCGTAATGACAAATCTATTGAACAGTTATTTCATGAATAAAAAGCATAGACAACAATTAACCAATTCCGAAACTTACATATTAGGGAATTAATTATATCAAGAAAGCGGTGGAAACAAAATCAATCATTCAGAAAAATACGGTGATTTTTACTAAAGGAAATGATTATTTAATATTAACCCTTTCTGATCAATAGTCGAAAAACTTGAAATTTTATGCAATGAAAAAATTGAATTGTTGTGTTCCACTCAAATCAAAAACAATTTAGGCCAGGGGTCTCAAAATTATGGCATGTCACAAAATTGAATAAAATACCGAATAAATTAAAATCTTGATCATTATCAATGCACTAATATAATAAAATAAGTAGAATGAAAAACCCTCGATAAGATTTGAATACCTATTTCTAAATAAAATTAGATAATATTAAGGTGGTTAGGCGATCAAATTTTCAATCAGATACTAGTTGGATGTATATATGAACAAATTTAATAAGCTCCACATTAAAACATACATTCATCATAAAGCTGTCTCATCGACTTTCCTGACCCATGGATGAATATGTAAATCCTAACTTTATTCTAATTTGACTAATTTGCAATATTTGACCAGAATGAATAGAAATAAACATCAACCTCATACAGATATTGCAACAGTCGATCTTGAATAAATATTTTTTCCTTGTATTGTTTCAATGATTTTCCATTCTTTTGTTTCTGGATCATATTCCTCTATATTTGCGGGATTTCCATTTCCACCAATGACATAAACTTTCCCATGAATCACACAACTACTGAACCATTGCCTTGTCGTTTTCATTGGTTTCAATATCATCCAAGTTTTAGTTACAGATGAACGATATTCAACAGTATTACTAGTATTCCTACTATCATTATAACCTCCCATAACATATATTCCTTCCTCTGTAGCAGTTGCTGTAGCGTGCCATCTTGCTTCATTCAATGATCTATTATCCATTGACCAAGTTGATGTGACAGGATCATAAATCTCAACTTGGTTTGTTGCTCGACCCTGTTGATTCCTTCCTACAATACAAAACACTTTTCCATCAGCGACCACCAAAGATTCATGAGCCAGAATCAATGATTTGTTTGTTAGTCTGGTCCATCTATTATTTGATGGATCATATCTTTCCATAATGTTTGAGAAATTTCCATCCTCGATACCATAAACAAAACCATCAAGTGCAACTACACATGCATTCTGAAGATTTGTATTTGTCATTTGTTCCCACTTTGCATTTGATTCAGCATATTCAAGTCTGTAAAACGATCCATTTGTACAAATCACGTAAATGTAAGATTCCATCACTACAGCAGAATATAATGTATTCTGTATAATTGCTTGATCTATGGTTTGCATTGGTGTCCATGTTTTATCATCAACATCATGACAATGCATTCTTTTGGAAGTCTGATCAAAAACAACCAGCTGTTGATTCTGAATTAAATTGAAATCTTTTGAACCTGCATTCCCATTGCTGTCCAAGATTGATAAAGTCATTGAACGAATTGACTGCATAGATTCATATAACAGTGGCTCATTTTCAACAAGAAATCTTCTATATGACAAAGTCATTTTTGTCAACTGGAATTTCATCACCAAACTAAGAAAACATTTCTTTCTTTCATCAATATCATGTTTGGTCCATGCTAACAACACCTTACATTTCCCTTCTTCCCTTGCTTTTGTTTCCTTCGATTCCATCAAAAATGAAATAAATTTTGTATCAAGATCCATAAACTCATCAAACTGGGCAATTTCTATAAAACGTTGCAATGCAAATTGATTGCATTTTTCCTCAAGTTGTTTACAGTTGTACCTATTTGCAATTTTTCTAGTTTGGAAAAACGATCTAGGATCAAGATCATCTTCCAGAAAAATTGCGATACTATCACAAAGTCTTTGCAGCTGCATCATGTGAGCGACACCCATTAGTGTTTCACGTTTTTCTTTGGCAACATAAGCATCCCCAGTGTAAATGAAATCAACACATTTTTTAACACAAACTTCATCAAATCCCTTTATTTCAACGACACCAGATTTTGTTTCAACATTTTCATGAGATAACATTGCTTTAAAATAATCGGAACTCGCCGACACAATATTCTTATGAACAGGAAGTTCCTCAGATCCAGCTTTGATCATGAAATCACAATGACGTCCAGTTTTACGATATTCATTTAATTGTTGTAAAATTTCAACAGCATGTTCTTTAGAATCTGTATTGATTTTTTCTTCCATTTCTGAGATGACTTTCTTTGATTTTATAAAGAACTGCTTATGATTATACCACTATTAATAATAATACCTTGTACAATAGAAAAATTATAAATAAAAGAGTTAGACTTTACAGTTCATCACAAATAAACCTTGGTTCATAAAACAATGATTACAATAAAAAAAAATGAAATTATAACGAAAGACAATGCTGGATCAAATAAGTACACAATCGCACTTCTGATAAGAATGAAGTCAAATATTGTCTGCTTGATATGTATCAAATAAGGGTATTATGTTAATCAGGTTAATAAGATAGAAGTTAACAGTAAGGGAACATTTATAAATGACCATAAAAGTTTTTAATTTATGCCAATATTTTAATACTCTATTTTGCTAATGTGAAAGTAGTGTCACATTTCAGTTGTTCATAACTATCCCACTGGAAGTGCTACTGCATGAAAATTATGAATAAAATAATATAAAACATAAATAGTTAGGTATCAAAATATTACACAGGTATAAACCCCAGGTCATCTCAATCAAATTAACCATGAACTTCTATAATCTATAATGCCTAGCTCAACAAATTATCTATTCAACTGATATAGGATACCTTGCAAAGACAATTTCAACAAATCACAGCATGGTGAAAAACCTCCAAAAAGTACTGTATAGTGAAGTACCGGTATGTATGAATTTGAAGATAAAGAATATACTGGTAAGAGTAAATCCAAGTGACTCTACAGGATGATTCCAGAAAATTTTCACGCTGAGAGATCCAATATTTTTACATCTCCAGCAATATGTTTTGCATCACTGTTCAATCAGTTGTTTTATTTGGTTTGAACGAAACTGCACAAAAGTAAATTGTCGAGCTGGAACAGCAATATTTTCTGAGCAGTGACTGAAGGACCCGTCAATGTCTCACTCAAGTAACTCAATGTAACACTGTAGATCCATGACGATAATGTGCACATTGTATGTGACACTATGGGACATTTTTCCACTTTATAGTCTTCCGCTTCGGAACAGCGGCCTCTATCATCTATCAAAATTCTAACAATAAATCATTAAATAGGCAAAGACATGTCCTACAGCACTGCAAACACCTAATCTTTATTAACTTTCAAGTCCAGTGCATATATTTGAAATGAAATAACTGTACCAGACAAGCAAACACTTTGTGTTACGAGTCATCACAAAAAATGTCAATCATATCAAAATTTCTACATTTCAGGCCCTTTTGTGTAAACCATCAAAAACCTGGGTGAAATTTCAACTTTTTCCATGAAATGAATGCAGTCCAATAAAATTCAAGTGTCTTTTGATATAAAAAAATACAAAACAATTACGGTACTTTCATTGCGCTTTATAAAATTGATGAAATTCAACATTTGTTTGGAATGGCCCCTTGGTAAGGTCACTAGCCTGAATATTATAATTCATAACAACAACTCTATTGAACAGTCATTTCATGAATAAAAAGCATAGATAACAATTATCCCATTTAAAAATGCATATTAGGGAATTGATTATATTGAGAAAGCAGTGATTATAAAATTAAAAAAATACAGTAATTTTCACTAGAGGAAATGATTATTAAATACAATAAAGCCGTTTCTTATCAAATGCTGAAAATCTTGTTGTAAGAATTTTTGTATTGAACTAACATCAACTAGAATTTTTCAAAAACAATTAGGGCAGTGTGAATGAAAGGATTTCAAGTTATGAAACCATATTCATCAATAGAAATTGAAACACCATCATTAGGGCATGTCACAAAATTGAATGATAATAAAAAATGGAAAATGTCAAAAAATAATAAATTAAAAGCTTGATCATTTCCAATTCGATATTACTGAATTTTGATATTCCCAAATTGTTGATTTTTCGCATACTATTGTGATTCATTTGCTAACATAGTATTTCAATTATATTCTATGCAACCCCATTGCCAGAAATCAACAGCCCATTGACATTCCAAAAATAAACGGTTTTACTACTTACTGAATACAGCGCGAAAAATGGGGAAATAGCGCGTAACAGAGGAAAACAGCCGCAAAACAGAGGGAAACAGCGCAAAGCAGAAAAAAATTTTCAATGAGTTGGGGCACATATTTTTTTTTTCTTTTTTGAGTTGGGGTACCACGGCAGCAAATTAAAAACACAAACCAAGGCATGTAGGTTCTAATGGCAGGTCTGCCCCTGCTAGTGACACATTTTGGGTAATGCAATTTAGGATAGGATTTACATATTTATCCCGGGGGAGAGGAAAACCGATAAGACGGCTTAATCATATGGCGCCACACCGCCGACTTTAGGGTTGATGAAAAAAAAAGTAGATGAAATTTCGCATGATGATCTAGAATCCGGCACATATCTTTGTAAATATACCGGAAATAGCGCCATAAAACCATGGCGAGAGGCGCCGTGGTTCTTTCGTGGCAGGAGCCTTCATGAGGTGGTATTAACTGCGTCTCCTGTTATGCGCTGTTTCCCTCTGTTTTGCGCTCTTTCGCGCTGTATTCAGTAAGTAGTAAGACCCCAAAAATAAATGACATAAAGTCTCTTAAATATTGCATTCACACATATACCTAGTTCATGGATGAATAAAAATAAACTTATACCGGTACTGGTATATCCAGAATGCAGAAACAAAATGCACCTTGTAACGCCCGGAATTGGAGACTCAAACTGCGCTACGTTTATACCCAACCACTGTCAAGTACCACGTCCCGGTTCTCCTACAATTTGCAATGCAAACTCGTAACATTAAGTCCCCACTCACAGTCTTGAACTTTTGAACCCAACACCTCAGAAGATCACACGAATTGAAAGAACTTTGTTGTAATATTCCGCTTGAAATCACGACAGAATACGGCAATAACATTCACAATGCACATAGAGTTTGTGGCTCAACTAAAGTTTGAATTTCAATAATACACGCACAGAGTTTGTATGAGTTTGTGATTAACACACTGAGCACTGGGTTTGTGTCAGAGTCTGAGTTTGATTTCAAATATTGATAGATTCCGGGATTAAATAACTAAATAAAATACAGAATAATTAGTAAACATTAATACACAATAAATCCCCTGACTATCCTATATCCTAACATAATGATTCCCTAGCTACATTATAAACATAGCAAAATCTACTAACTACAAAACACACTCAACTAAATCCTAAAACACCGGCAAAGCATATGACTGCAGATTGCACCATCACAGCTCGTCTCCGCTCACGCAGAACCGAGAGCAATACAAGAAACTAACTATAGAACAAGAGTCGTCGTCGGTCGATTGCCTCAGCCAATAGCGTGCAAGACAAACATATTGCGACATAGCTACTATTCCCACTCTCTCGAATACGATAAAGAAATAAACAAGAACTACCAAAATGCCGACCTGCGTCCATTACACCGGCCCTAAGAACCGTCTACATCCCACGGTTATTACCGACCACCAAAAGGACGCATGTCTCATTTTCACGAAATGAAAACATGAAAAACAATATATACAAAAATTACACAACTCCCTCTAACAAACACAATTTACGAATGTCTCGCATGTAACAAGAATCCCGCAGTCCTCACACGTACACTGCGGACATGCCCATCTGAATCAGGAAATACTTCCTCGATTAACCTTTCGGCCAGAATCCTCTCTTAGTCTTTTCATCCACAATGAGAACAATATCTCCAATGGCAAAGTTTCTCACAGGCTTGTGCCACTTTTGCCTCAACTGCAATGTTGGCAAATATTCTTTCAACCACCTCTTCCAGAAACAATCTGTCATTAATTGTACCTGGCGCCACGACTTCTTATATCCATCTGCTTTCATGAATTGATCAGGAGGTAGATTCGGATTAGGCCTACCAAGTAACAACATATTAGGACTCAAAGTTGCGAGATCATCCGGGCTATCTCGCAATCGGACAAATTGGTCTCCCATTTAAAATGCTTTCACACTGTGTTTGTAAATGTATGCAGAGCATCATCATCTAATAATCTCTCCCAGCAATTGCTCTCATCAATTTTCGAAAAGATCTTATCATCTTTTCCCATGCTCCATTTGTATGTGAAGCCAAAGGTACAGAAAACACCATTCAATGTTTTGCTGTTGCATAACTTTAGAAATTTGATTTTGATTCCAATTTTGAATCCCTTCACGAAGTTCTCTCTCAGCACCAATGAAGTTTGTTCCATTATCACTGTACATTTTCCTTGGTCGTCCCCGTCTGTTTATAAATCTCTGAAACACATTTATGAACGATGAAGTATCCAGTGGACTTAGGCAATCTCGATATGAACCGCCTCGTGTGGCCATACAACTGAACATACATTCCATATCTTTTCTCCTCACTCCTGCCTCTCTTCACTAATATTGGTCCAAAATAATCACAGGCAGTTTCCATAAAAGCATGATCACTAGGTGTCACTCGAACCTTTGGTAACGGTGCCATCACGTTGCTCCCCCCTTAGAGTTCCATCGACAGCAAGTAAAACATTTGCTCAATCTTCGACGCACAGTTGCATGTCCTTAATAATCCCAAAATTCTCTCACGAATTGCAGATAAAACATGCAAAGTTACCACTTGTGACCTTCTCTTTCATGATACATGTCATCACCCAAATTAGTAACATAACTATCACTCGGCAAAATTACTGGATATCTACTTTCCAATGGCAAATGTGAACGATCAAGACGACCACCAACTCTCAAGATCCCATCCACAACAATAGGATTCAGTTTCTGTATTGATCTCATCTGCTCATTTCTTGATAATGACTTCTTTGGCGTCCTGACAATCTTTTCTTCCAAAGATGAATGATTATGCAAAGCATCGATTTGTTTTCCAAACTGCTCTCTTTGCACAAATCTTACTATGCAATCAATTGCACAGTGTAATTCACAAATCTCAAAATGTCCTGTTTTCAGCTGACCGACATCTCCATCACCTCGAGATTTAGCCACCTTCCATCTGAGATAAGATCGATATCTCAAAAGCCAAGCTGTCGATCTCTGAAGTTTCTCCAAAGTAGAGTATCTCGAAAGCAAATGCTTGATTGGATTTTCCTTCAAGTTATCTTTGACACAATACACAGATAAATCTTGCTTCAATTCAGGGTCATTATTTAATTATGCCACGAATAGGTTTTGATTTTGGCCATAGGCTTTCTTCTCTCATCAAAAAAACAGTCCCCTCAAACCAAATCTTTGCCTGTCCAAACTGATACGGTTTCAAACCTCGAGATGCAATATCAGGCCCGGGTACATTTTCGTGGTCAGTATGCTCCACTGCGAAGGTCTGATCCCTCATGAAACAGCAAGACGATTCGCCATCAAAAAGTATTGAGAAGCGTCTTGTCCGTATTCAGTGATATACTGCACATTGACATTGAAGTCGGTCCAATTACCAATTACTCTATCAAATTTTGTACTCCAGTGAGTCTTTCACAGAACGGATCCCAACTTCACTGCTACCACTGCCTGCAGTCAACTCTAGCCTTGGTATAGTCACTCGGTTTGAAGGTGTCACTTCTGACTTTTCCCATAACCAAAACTGGCAATGCACGGTTCCATAGACTTTGTTCAACATTCGCATATAGCATGACATCCATATTCCCGGTTCACTTGCATCACAAAAATATGCATTTGAATTTCACTAGGGTCATTCATATCTGATGATTTCAAACAACGAGGAATAGAAACACTTTCCAGATGCGGTAAATCTTGCAACCAGTTCATCCAGCAAGCCTTTTCACCATCAGGAATTTCATCGTCCCACCCCAAATCTTGTTTACATAATTTCTGCAGAATTTTCTTCATAGGCAAAATAAATGGCTGCAGAAATCCAATCGGATCAAATATCTGGCTCATGGTAGAAAGCATACCCCGTCTTGTAGTTGGTTTGTCTTTCACATTCACCTTGGTCACGAATTTATCCAAATCAGTATCCCAATATAACCCCAGGGCTCGTTCCACCGGTAGATTATCAAGATCCAAATTCACCAAAGTCTTTGCTCGCTCACTTTCTGGAATTTGCTCAAGCACCTCTCGACAATTGCTGATAAATTTCGTCAGATGGAATCCACCACTTTCCAGTAGAACAGACAATTGCTTAACCAAGTTTATAGCGTCACCACTCTTTGCTAAGGATTTCAACAAATCGTCAACATAAAAATTCTTCAGCACAGTATCAACTACCGATTGTTCAACACCCGGCTCATTATCTGAAGCACATTTCCTCAAGGCGAAACCTGCAACTGATGGACTTGAACGGCTTCCAAATATGTGTACCAACATGGAATAGTCACTTGCTTGAGATGACAA